TCCTCCGGTTGCTCCGAAGACGAACGCCCCCGCAACGACAGCTCCTTCTACAGTTGAGAAGTCGGGTTCATCGAGTGGTAATGATGATATCCAGTACGACTCTACTTCAGCTAGTGGACACCAGGAACAGTCTCCAAGCAGCGGAACCGACCACGGCAGCGAGACTCCAGTGGTAACAATGCCCCCTCCTATTGTCCCTAAGACAAAGGCTCCCGCGACGAAAGCTCCATCGGATTCAGACGACGGTGAAGTTACTCAAACGTCCCAGCAGGAGTCGAATGCTGGCAGTGGTAGCGACGAAACCCAGAGCTCTAAACACGGAGACAAGGAGACCCCGTCGCCCACCATGCCTTCAGTCATTCATCCGGCGACGAAGGCTCCCGAGACTACAGCTCCAGTCAGCGAGGATTCCGATTCCTCAAGCGGTAGCGATGCCGGTCAAAAGACCCACGTTAAGTCGCATTCCAAAACTGTGAGCGACACGGACACAGAGTCTCCGACAATGCCTCCTCCTGTTCCCCCCGCGACAAAGGCCCCGGCTACGACGGCTCCCCCGACCGAGCAGCAGTCACGCGACGACGATACGATTCAAGTATCGAGTTATTCGACACTAGATGCCGACAATGTGGCTGCTGAACACGATTCGGGTGCTAAACAGACCGAGGGAACGGTTGTTGATAAGCCCGTGGGGGCTCCAAACTGCGTGATGTAGTTCGCAACGGAAATCACGAATAACGGTTGATGTTTTGAAGATAGAGGACCAGCTACGTTGGTTTTAAGTAAGCAATCTAGAGATATAATTTGCATGGGCATTCGAGCACTTTCATCTGATCTACGACTTAGTCGTTGAGTTCATGATATGATGATCTCCCTGATAAACATTTACGCAACGCAAACTTATATATCTTCATTTGCAGGTCATTGCGAGGCAGAATGCCAGGATACAACTGGGAATAACCCTGGGCTGGGGTCATCGAAATGGCAGCTTGGGCTCGAGAAACTCGTCGCCAGATTCCCAGATGGCCCAACAAGGACAAGTCGTTGTCCGTCAACTTGCGAAGCAACAAGCGCCATGCGCCGATCTGTAACTTGTTGAGGTGCCGCTCGACGGCACGACCTCGAACAGGAAACGAAGTCCTGGCCAAGCAATGCTTCGAGGGCATCAACGTTTTCTTGACTGCTGTCCGTACAGCGCCAAGCAGACCCCTATGTCGTGCCTTGAACAGACACAAGCAATCATTTGCAAATCGTCACGAG